AATACAATGTTGTCAGCACAAAAATGAAATTACACTGGCGGCCATGTTCTAATATTTCCTGACAAGTATGCCACATAAGACTTACTTGTAGTGATAAATAGTGAATTATGTAGATTTGCTAAAAAGAAAGTCATGATTTTGATTAAAAAGAATATGTCATCAGAAAGAGCAATACCATCAGTCAGCCTGACACATTATAAACTGATTCATTATTAATTCTCGATGTCAAAAATAGTAGAATGAGGATGGAAAGTGAAGAAGTGGAACTTGAATAAACAAATCCACAGCCATGCTAACAGCTCTGCATTGCTGTAGTACTTGAGCTACATGCTAACTCATGATAGCATGCTGAGATACAGGTTTTTTGCAGATATAATGCTAAAATGGCCCCCATTAAAGTATACATATTGACATGCTTGTGTGACCGGAGGTCTTCTCCCTCTGTGCCGCTGCTTGGCACCGGGCCAGCGCACCAATTGAGCGCACCGGCTATTTAAGCTGAGGTGCCAAACTGGGTCCCTCCCATTTCCGCTTCTCCTGTGGTGGCTGCAGCTTGGCGTAGTAACGCAAATTGTTTGGCGTGGCAGCATTCATGTCCTACTCTCTACCAGACAGGTAAAGCACTGTGCAGTCTGTCATTTATTCATGGTCACAAGATGCACACGGCTGACACTTTCCCATCTTAGCGCAGCTGACGTCCGGGGCGTTAGAGGAGGCATTTGCTCCGCCAGAGGCTCCGTGATAGCGGCGTTGCACACTGTTGGTGAGTGCCGTTGTCTGCTCTCTTTAAATCTGCTGCGTAGTTCCCCTGCCTTATCAATTCTTTATGTCACAGCGGGATTTGGCCGTGGCATTTGCGGGTCTCATTCCCTCCCTTGTCGGATCTGTGGCTGCACCTGGCTGGTGGTACGTATGAGCCCCTCCCCCATATTTTAAATTAAACCGTCACTTTCATACAGATTTTATAGTAATTCCAATCCCCTTTACAGGGGTGTTCTAACTATTCTCGCTCCCCACCTTTGGCCATCATTCCCGTCCCGTGCTGCTGTTTTGGCTCTCTGTGAGTTTTGGGCTCTATGTGAGCTTCGCTCCTCGCTGTGGACAGGCCCAGACTGCTTGCTCTGACCTGTTGCTGGAGCCGTTCTTGGCGTCAGGGAATAGTCCCAATACACGACTATAAGGACATTTATTATTTAATTGGTGTATTCCTTGCTGTCCTTTACATTTACTTTAAGTTGTGTATTCCTTGCTGTCCTTTACATTTACTTTAATTTGATTTAATTTGTTTATTCCTTGCTGTCCTTTACATTTACTTTAATTTGTTTATTCAATTGTTTACATTCATTCAGATTTGGTGTATTTTGTTGTTTTCTTTTGTTTATCCTTTTGTCAGAATTATAACCTTTTATCCTGTGCCGGACAGGTGCTGTGGGCCTGAGGCGGCAGACTCCCTGGTGGTGGCAGTGGTTTTCTTCACATATCCGTTTTGAGTGGTGTGCAGTGTCACGGGTGATTTATTTTGGACCCCTTACTCCCCTTTTTGTTAACTGCTGCCGTGGTAAGCCAAGCCCTGTCCGTTTCCCCAAAGTGGGTATTTTATTCAAATGTATTGTGTGTTGTTTTTAGATATTTTGTATGTTATAAATAAAACTGTATTCTGAACCTTAAAACTCTCTGCCCGTGGTGTAAAACGAACCTGATTGTCCTTATCAGTATTAGACCTAGTCTTTATAATTTCCTGGGGGCGAAACTCCCCCAGGTGGTGTTGTCCGCAACCGACTTTAAACACCTACCCTCACCACCCCGCCACACTTGCTTATTTGCAATGAACCCAAAAGTACTGAACCAAAGTAATGAACCATATGTTGGGCATCAGTAGTTCAGTCTGTAGGGACTTGGACTTTGAACCAAAGGGTTAGGGTTAGTTCATGGTTCACTTCTACATCTATCTTCCTTTTTGAGGGGTAGCATATAAAATGCTAACATGTATCTATATTGTAAGTAACAAGTGTATATATATATACTAACACGATAGCTTCATTAGTCATTCGTTTTACAGGTTCAGTTGTAAACCAACGTAGCCTATTGGTAAAATGAACAACAATTATTTAAATTAATCCTGAGTGAAAACATTTGTGTATGAAATTTGAATTGCAATACATCCATCAGATTTCACCAAATCCACACAACTAGATCTCATGGTGTTGCTATAGGAAAAGTCAGAGGATCATCAAAGTCATTGGGATTCAACCTCTGGGGAACATGAATGTGTATACGCAAATAATGGCTTGGTGTAAATCATTATTACATTACAGGCATCATTAGGTCACTCTCTTTCGTGGTGGTGGGTAGCGCTTTGACATGTTGATCCGAGAAGGGAATTTAAGACTTGTGTTTCATTACTACTACTCAGTGGTGTAGTGGGCGTTGGACGCGGGGGTACGCCGTACCCCCACTTATTTGAAGCATGATTTTTTTTTTTTTTATAGTCTAATAAATATATAATTATTGCCAGTGTGATCAGTTGCAAGTGTGTATTTGTTGTAATAATGACGAAAACATAATAGGCAGATTTCACAGTAATTATAATAAAAACGTAGCTCAAGCATTTATGCAACTTGATTTTGTGTGTGTGTGATTTGTCTAGCGTCCCACAAATTTAGACTATGTCCCGCATTTGAGTGACAGTCGCGCAGAAAGACCGGATCGATTTGCTGACGGCCGGCACCGCCCTTTATTATTATATTGTCTAAACGGCATCATGTAATGCGCTGACAGGCGACACAGAGGTCCACACACAGTGTACCCCCCCCAGTTGACAGTTCACGAGCGCGTCCATAGTGTCTCTCCGCCCTGTCCACCCAGTAAAAAAATCCACACTACACCACTGCTACTGCTACTACTACTACCCCTCCTACTACTACTACTCCCTCCTACTACTACTACTACTACTCCCCCTCCTACTACTACTCCCCTCCTACTACTACTACTACTACTACTACTACTCCCCCTCCTACTACTACTACTCCTCCCCCTCCTACTACTACTCCCCTACTCCCCCTCCTACTACTCTACCCCTCCTACTACTACTCCTCCTACTACTGCTCCTCCTACTACTGCTCCTACTACTCCCCCTCCTACTACTACTCCTCCTACTACTACTACTACTCCTACTACTACTCCCCCTCCTACTACTACTCCTCCTACTACTACTACTACTACTACTACTACTCCCCTCCTACTACTACTACTACTCCCCCTCCTCCTACTACTACCCCCTCCTACTACTACTACCCCTCCTACTACTACTCCTCCTACTACTACTCCCCCTCCTACTACTACTCCCCCTCCTACTACTACTCCTCCTACTACTACTACTCCCCTCCTACTACTACTCCCCTCCTACTACTACTCCCCCTACTACTACTACTACTACCCCCTACTACTACTCCCCCCTCCTACTACTACTACTCCCCTACTACTACTACCCCTCCTACTACTACTACTACCCCTCCTACTACTACTCCCCCTACTACTACTACTACTACCCCTCCTACTACTACCCCTCCTACTACTACTACTTACTACTACTCCCCCTACTACTACTACTACTCCCCCTACTACTACTACTACTCCCCCCCTCCTACTACTACTACTCCCCTCCTACTACTACTACTACTACTCCCCCTCCTACTACTACACATTTTATTTATCTCTGCATTTCTTATAATGTTATTTACTTTGTATCATATTCCACAACACCCCAACAAAGTTGATTAGTATCAGTTGAACAGCATTAATCTCACTCTAGCCATCTCGATTAATTGCACAAAGGGGTTACTACAACATAAAACAATGTCTCTTTTCAGAAGTGCCACACTCATTCAACAGGAAGCATTAATAACTGACCTTCTCTTACAATGAGAAATTTGTGTTTTCAATTTGCTGCCTGATTGCAAATTGCTTTGAAACATACATACTTATACTAAACAGTCTGAATTGAATCATCACTGCTGATTGTTTCTAATGTGTCTGCAGAAAACAGTACAAGGTCGAGAAAAATGTTCTCATGCCACGTGCATAAAAAGAAGCTGGAGGAAGATTGTTTTACAGTTAATCATTTTAGGGAATGCACATCCTGAATGCTTAAGGATGTAATAATTCAACTTTATTTTATATTCAGATCTCTAAATGACGTTAGCGTTAGACAAACCTGGTCATTTGTCAGCCTGCTCTGGGGTTTTTGGAAAATTGCCAATTAAAATGAGAGAACATACTCCCACTACTGAATGTTATACATCAATGTAGACTTTGGGTTTAACATACATTTGTGAGTTTATTAAATTAAAGTACATTTTATTAGCATACAAATGTACTTTTTATATTAACAGCTCCCAGGTGTTATTCTGAGGGAAGGAGAGAAAGAGGCTTTGAAACTATCATGTGAAATGTTCAACATTCTTAAAATGTTAAAATATTAAGTGCTGGTTTTTAACCTCCTAACACTAAACATTTAAATGTTTAAAGGGATAGTGGAAATGGAACCTCAAATAGTTTCGTTTTAACTTATATACAAGCATAATTACGTACCAAAACAATCACACCTGATTAAAAAAATATAATAATTGCCTTACGCATGTTAGAAGCACTTTATTGCAGCTTCCCCGAAGTTTTTTAGAAACGAAATGTTCGACTCAGCCAAACTGGAAGTGACGAAAACGTAGGAAGACGATACGATAACAAACCATGGCGTCTATGCAGAATGAACGTGGAAGGGCAAATATACCAGACAAAGAAGAAGGATTGTACGAGGTATCCAGTGATGATAGCGAGTCAGAAACATCCTCTCGGCTTTCCTACGAAAATGTCGTTTTAGGAACTGAATCTGAATCCGGTTCAGTAAGCGACGATGGTGAGAATATTGAGCCAGACGATGGACCATTACGTCCTTATTTGTTCGAGCCCGAGTCCGAGGTGATGGTTCACGGCATGGGCAATGGCGAGGATGACCAGGACCAGGCGCCAGATGATGCACCCCTACGCACAAATAATCTTGACTGGTAGGTCCCTAAGCATAGCTCACGCATCTTAAGATCACCTGTAGCCTTTACAAATATTAATCATTGTTAACCAGTTAAGCCCGAAGGTCCCCCCAGTGGACCCCTCCCACAGTTTTTTCTCTCACATGTCTCAGGGCTTCTTAACATTTATGAAACTATTAATGTTTCATACCCTTTTAAAGGTAAGAAACTCCGCTAACTGACAATAAGAACAATTGTTAGCTAGAAAAAACACAAGAGTAATACCAAGCCTTTGAATTAGCATTGAGCGAAACAATGCTAACTAATGCTAACTAATGCTTTTTTTACACACAACACACGGTAGAAATGCCCTTATTACTATCTTAACTGCACAAACAAGATATACGATTTAAAGCTGAGACTCCACAGATGTAATGTCATCACTGTAAGACCTTGAATTCCTGGAGCTATCCGCCAGAAAAGAGAAAGTAAACAACATCCGGTTCCAAAAATATTACAATAATTACGTCTTGATTTGTGATCAAAAGTTGTGTTCAACGGAATAAAAACGCATCTCAAGGTTAATCCAATGTCGTTGTGTCACGTAGAATTTTTTACTGATAATCAATCATCATATTTATGGCAATATACTCGGTATAAAGTATTGCCGTCTTACAGTCTTATAGTATTACCTATAGTGAACATTTCTGAACAAATTTCACCCACTGACGACGAATGGCTGGGTTTCTTGGAAACGCATGAGTCGATACGCCATTCTCTGCATTTGCTGTCGCACTACAGCCATACAAAACACATCTATTCACCATAATAAAGGTCGGCTATTCACATGCAAATGCTATTGAATGTCCGCCATTGTTTGTGCCCGTCTTCCTCTGCTCTCGTCATCACCCGAAGATTCCCGACGATTCCCGAAGTATTTCGTTTCATTGAGAGGGCGCAGTAAAATTGAAAATAAAATGAAACTAGGCGCATGAAATAAAAAAAAATTGTTTATTATGCTTATTTTTAATACAAATACATAAGTTAAACCCAAAATTCGCGGATTTCCACTATCCCTTTAATGAGTATTTGCATAATTAGGACACAAATAAAGATGCATATGCTTTAGTCATCTTCATTAAACACCAAAGATGCATTACAATTTCCTGAATGTGTGCTACTTCCTCATGTTAATATTTAGTTAAGATCAATTATACATACATGAGCTATATAGATATTCATGATATTACATTTCTGTTCTTCGCTCATTTGCATTTTACTACAATTTCTACCTGTTACACATAATATATAAACTTTATTAACAGGTTCTCGTGTCTATGTTTATAATAGCCATTAGCGAGCCATGGATATTTCTTTTTACTGGAATAATAAAACCCAGGAGGGAATTCTTTACCCGGGAATATCAGAGCAATAAAGATCACTATGAAAGCTTTAATGATGTCCCTAAACGTATGTAACAGTACCCAATGTATGACTAGTGTCTGTAAAGTTTGGATCAAAGGAATAAACGTACATATGCGCACATGAATAAAACCACGTTTAGCTAAAATAATTAGCAGGAGAGGGACCGTTCGGCAGATCCCTGATGAGCTTCTGTTCACTGAGCACACAATTAGCTTCAGTTTCTGGTGATGTCATCAAGTGTGGACAAAACTTTGGTCCAAAGCTAAATATTTCGACAACTTTTGGAGGGATGTATATGTTCAATTGGTGCAAATGTTATAGAGTAAATGTTAGTTTAAATATCAAATTAAGTAAATCGAAGACCGTAAGCAAAAACTGAGCTAAAGTAACATGGTGAGTTCTGGATAATATTGCCTATAGAAAGTTGTGAAAACAAGATGAAGACAAAAATGAAGATGAATGGTGAGTCGGAACAGCAGTTCAATCAATACAAACTACTTTTCTGCAGAACAAACTACTCAGTATCATAAAAACACTTTAAAAGGACTGTGTTGAAAAAATGTAAGAAATTGATGTAAATAAAAAGGTCTTGAAGAGCTACAAGCTAGGGGAGCTAATGAGCTAAGAAGTTTTCCGCTAAAGTGAAATAATTTCACGGCATTCATGTGTGCAGCAGGAAGTCAGTCAGCTCAGGCAAAACTGTAATGTAATAACTTTAAAGACTGTCATGCTCCCAAAACACGGAAGCCTTTCGAAGCACGAAAATGTTTTCAGTGTATGTGCTGGGTAATCTGCTTTTGTTAGAACCAATGGAGCACCATCATGGAGCATGGTCTACAGGTCTCTAAATAACTTCACAGCTGGTCCAAGTCTTGCATCAAATGATTCTGACAGCGTTAGACAGATGGCCAGTGCCAAGCTTTAAATGTTTTAAATGTTTTACTCTACAGGTGGTAAAGATCGAGGAAGAAAGCCATCAATCATCCATCAACTTTAAAATCCAATGGGCTATGGCCATTACAGCATGATGTGTCGCTGCACTTATTACAGAATATGTGGCAGTGAGTGCATATCTGACATACAGTTAATGGTTCTATATAATAAATCTCCATCAGCCTACAGTTATAACATTGAAGCAGCATTGTGTACGTTTTTTACACTGTATGCAAAGATGTTGTATTCGGAGGCAACTTGTTTTGGCCAAGAAACAACCTTCTAGTATGATTTCTTTAGATAGAATTTGCACCTTAATATTGATTGAAAAACCATTAAACTAATACAATATTTCTCAAGGAGTATAGAAGGAGGACATTATATTCAAATAGAAGAAACTAACAACACCGAACAATATATCAAATATAATTTACAGATAAGGAACAAGGTTCATAGTGTGAACGGGTACCACTAATAAGGGTTATATGCAGATATGAAGCCATTATTTCATGTGGTTTAGGGTAAAATATATTGTGTGTTTCATTGCTGCCCTTATAGCCACCGAAGAAGTAGGTTTTTGAAAAATAAATCTGATAATGGGAGAGAAACTTCCTCTGGAGGGAACTTTGGGATTTTAGCCTTTGCAGACCATTCACATGCACAAAAACACCAGGAAAGGGAAACCCCAAAAAGCACAAGAGGGCCTCTTTAAGGTTTATGTTGGTGGTTCGGATGAGACAGAGAACAATGTATTATTCTTATGAGGATATATCTTTTATACAAAAGTTACATTTTGGACAGTTTCCACTTAAAAAATAAATGTGATCTCTTCATTAAAGCAAAGAAAACCCATTTTGTCTCATTTCACTCCTACACCAGTCAATAACATCATTAGCTGGTACCAAAGTTTCTCACACGTCTAGAGCAGTGGTTCCCAAACGGTGTGCCGTGAGTCAAGTCCGGGTGTGCCGTGGGATTTTGTGACAACCATACGTTATTATTGCAATATACAACTACACAAAAATAATTATTTTTTAATTTACTATATCAGTACTTTGTAGGTTTATATGTACGTAATCTGCCCGACTTGCACGTCCACATCTCCACATGCAGTGCTGCATAAACATGGCTGAGTCAGCGATAACTTTCGAGGGGTGGAGGTATGCCCATTATTTTGAGTTCGTCCGAAGAATAGACAGGAATGTGACGGTGAGGTGCAAACTGTGTCCAGGCCAGAAGCTGTTATCCACTGCTGTAAACACCACGTCAAACCTCAACAAACACCTGCAAAGAACACATGCTAAGGTGAAGCTACCGCACACGCTATTTGTTGTCTGTTCTTCTTCTCTGTCTTCCGGTTGTTGCCTGTTTTGAATGACAAATACACACTACCGCCGCCTGCTGGTAAGGAAAGTTATTGCCACTCACGCATGCGCAGTTCGTACGTGCTCGGCGAGTAAAGTAACGAGTTACTTTATGTAGATAGTAACGAAGTAGTGTAATATATATATATATTTTTTTTAAGTAATATGTAATATATTTAAAAAAATTAGTAACGACCCCATCTCTGGAGTTGGCGTTCTCTACTCTGATTTACATGAAGAACAACAGGAGGTCACGGCTCTCTGTTGAGCAGGACTTGCGAGTGGCCCTCTCCTCAGTGCCACCAAGGATTACAAAATTCTGTGCGCCCCAACAGGCACATGTATCTCACTAATTTGTAAGTCGGCAAAAATATTTACAATAGCACATGTTTCAATGCTGATTGCTGAAATGTTACATTTATAATTTGTAGTTCAGGACCATGGACAATGCAGCTTCCTTGCATTGACAGTTCTCTGTGAGGAATTTCTGCTGAGTTTCAATTGCCTCATTTTTAATGTTGTGACTTGTCTGGTTTAAATGAGTGTGTTGCTGCTTTGATGAAACCTAATTTGATAAAGTTTCAAATTAATTTCTGAAATATTTAGTTAATAAATATTTCATGAGTAATATAGTTGTCTTTGTCACATTTTATTTGGCATTAGTAAATAATTAAGCACATTTACAGATATTTTACATGATATGAGTGATAACACGTGTTATAAGGGCTATTTTGCACAACAGGTGTGCCTTGAGATTTTTACTTGTCCTTTGGTGTGCCTTGGGCACAACAAGTTTGGGAACCACTGGTCTAGAGGACAGGGATGGAGCAGGACTGGCTCTTCAGGCGGTTAGAAGCCCCCGCGCCAGACGTCTGATTTATCAAGGCTCGCCCAGTTATCTATGGGCCTGCTTAAAAATGCAGTGGCCAGCAGAATGGCTAATGTAGGACAGGGCATGACTAAGGCCGCCTTCATGTTTAATGATGATGAATATTTCACAGCACACTACTGCACCGCCTCTATTTAAAATTCGACTTGGCAACGGATCCTGAGCCAACTGCCTTCGTAGGAGAATTAACACCTGTTTAACCTGGTGAGCCGAAGCATACTGAAATAATGATGTACAGGAGGAGCCGACAAAAAGATTATTCCGATAAAATGAAGAGGTGCAAGAAGTTGTTGAAAGGGGGACAAAGAATGAGCTAAAGGTTTCGATGTATCTTTCATTACCTACACTTCTAATCAAACGCAGACATTCAAGGGCTTTGCTTTGTGTGCAGGGCTTTAAAACTAACCTAAAGTTAATAAGAGATTCAAACGTTTTACTAAAAAAATAGCTTGTTTAAATGGGATATCAAGAATCTGAAACAGTATAGCAGCTGTTTTCTGTCTGGTTCCAAAAAACCTACGAAACAGCGTCAAATTAAGTTAAATCTAGCAGCAACTTCTAGGGAATTCTCCTATTTCTGCAGGTCACCCTTGAAAAAGAGATCTTTTGATCTCAAGGGGCTTTCACCTGGTTAAATAAAGGCTACAAACAAAGAACCAAACGATAATAATATCGGTATGGAGAATATGCTGACACACAGCATGAAACCATCTGACATGCTTATTCCATGCAACATTGTGTGAGATGGGTCTAAATATACAGTGGCCACAATCTGTCAAATCCTTTGTCAATTTGTTTTGGGTGGAAGTGTCTCACAGTCTTTTGGGGTTGGAGACTACAAATAGAATTGTTACATTACAGCAAAAAGTTAGAGGTTTAAAGATTCGGGCATCTATCAGCAAAGGATACCATTATTAAAGACACTATCAGAAGTGCATTCTGGGAAATGTAAGATTGATTGTTTTTGGAGCTTGACCAGAAGCCAGGGCATCTCTGACTCTTATGTTCTTATATTCTGTCACTCACACAGACCCACACAGCCATCCAACAGGCTTATCACATGTGACATTGTTTGAGATGGGTCTAAAAATACGGTGGCAACAGTCGGTCAAATACTTTGGGTACATTTTGATGTGGGTGGAAGTGTCTCACAGTGGTGTCGGACCAATGCTTTAAACCCTTTTTAATAACCAGTCCATACAGGGTGCAGGGTTCTTTAGACAAACAAACAAGGGATTTCTTATTTCCTATAATGAAAGACACTATCAGAATTGCATTCTGGGAAATGTAGGTTTTAGAGTTTTTGAAACTTGACCTAAACCAGAATCAAGGATATCTTAGCCAGCTTTTCTTTATAATCTTCCTCTCAAAAGACCCACACAATTATTAAAGTTCCATACTAAACTAGTGCCTTTAATGAAGTCACAGAGTAAAACGGGTCGACAGAGGGGATGAGACGCTGCAAATGGTCCCAGACGGATTTGAACCTGGGTCCTCCACATGGGGACCAAGCACAGGTATATGGGCTGCTAACTGTAACAAGAGAGCTGTACGACTGCCCATATTGTGCACATTTCTATTAAAATTATTTAACTATTTTCAGTCAATCAAGGTTAATTCTATCATTTTTTTAATTAATGAGGAGTGAAAAACATCCTCTTTCTAATTGCATGCATACAACAATGTAACAAGTGCAGGACTTTTACATACAAATGAAAGACTGTTACATTCCTGTGTGCCTCACCTGTGCCTCCAGGTGAGCTCACTGCATCTCCCCCGCTCTTTTCAAGAATTCCAGTGAAATGTTCTTTTACTTTAATACTTCCTCTGATCGCTTTGTTTTTATCTGGATCATCCACTTCAGAAAAATAGCATTAGCCGTGCTCCTATCTGCTGCTCTTTACTACGATCTCTCCTATAGAGTGATTTCTCACACTTCCAGAGGGCGAGAGGACATAAGCTCTGTACTCCAGCTTTAAACAGACACAGGGTAATCTTTGTTGGGATGATACACAAATGTAAAACTAGACTGACCTTGATTACAGAGGGAGCCGAAGAAGCCAGAGAGACATTCACATTGGCCGTTGACATGGTGGCACGCCCCGTCGCTATGGATACACTGAGGGCACGACTGGCTGCAACGATGTCCGTAGAAACCAGGGGAACAGGCTGCAGGAAAACACACACACCACTGTTACAAAGATGTCTATGTATGTGCGTGAGAGAAAAGTAAATTCCAGAGTGTAAAGAGAACTTCTGATTAGTTCGCTGATTAGTTCTTTGATCATTTTAATATAGATTTCATGGTCCACCTAGTCTCAATTTAAACTAAACCCCACATGTGAAAGCTTATTACTGTCCACCATATCTGTATAATATTTGTGTGTGTGTGTGTGTGTGAAAACGTGGCTGCTGTCTCCTCTCCGCTGTCAACCTGTTGGCAGAGTTAGCTTTTCTTTGTTTTCACTTCCGCCGTGTATCCTCCTGAGGCCTTTCATTTGTTTTAATTGATGTTACTCTAAGTGGTGAGCCAAGCCGGTGCAGGCTGGTCCACCGCCTCCCTCACACTACAGGATTTTCCTAATTAAGATAATTGCCTAAACTGTGAACCCAGAGCCCTTAAATGTATCACTCTGATGCAGAGAGAGGCTGATGAAAAACTGGTGTGTGTTGTGTACTATCAGCAGAACAGCTCACTGCAAGCAACATCAACAGGTAGGCTCTATTTTAAGCAGATTCTACAATCGTTGATTTATGGTCCCCGAATTCTTCAGATTTAACATAAACCCTTTTTAGACCTGATGACGCATTCGTTTCTCACTAGGCTCTTGCTGGTTAATGAAAAAACACGGTGACTTATCTGAAAACAAAGAATTTCTACTGCATTATCCACCCATACAATATTCTAAATAACATGGAGATGGGAAATATGCTAGAAGATTGCAGGATGTTTTGCTTGTTATACCATGGGTTTTGTTAAAACAAAATGCAGCTAGTAGCAAACCATAGCATTGTTGAGTCTTTCTGAGGAGCACATGAATGCACCATTGTCCTTTTTTGTCAATTTTTATTTAATTTGTGATAAATGCAGTCGATCTAAATGCAAAAATGAAATAATAGTTTTCTTTATGAGTATAGTTAGGTCAAGGACATGACCAACCTAAATGTTTTCTATTCAATCTTTGCTAATAAAAAAGAATGAAAAGAGATAAACATTTCTCAAAGAGATTCTTAATGTTGAAGTTGAATGATTACAGGTTTTTGTTGCTAATTAACAAGCGTGTTTGTTAGTTACAACTGTTTTTAGGTACTTTATCAACCAATTTGGGAGGATTTCTCGCTTTTCTCTATAACATTTTATTTCTCAGCTGTTAATCAGTTGGCTGCAATTTTTGGTTGTATTACAGATTAGGATCTTGCAATATAAAAGAGAGTTTGTGAGCACTATTGGCACTATGAAACACATTTTCACGTTGGTTTTTTGTTTTGTTCTAGTGAACGTTTGGGTCATGTGATAAACATTCCTGCCACTGGCTCTATTCTTTTTCAATGACCTACAGATGGTGATAACGTAACAACATACAAGCAACAATCCGTCATTAAAGCCAAGATAAAGAAGAATGCAAGCGAGAAAACATTAATGTTGACAATTTAGGTTTCAGACTTTTACAAATCATAAACGTTTGACACATGCCCGGCGCCGTGGGAGGGCCAGGCCCTCCCATTTGACATTCTTGCCCTCCCCCAATAAACACGATTTTTATTATTTATAAAAAATATATTTTTTAATTTTTTTTATTATAAATAAACTGTGAACTTTTATGCACGATGTATGTGATGTCAGATAGTAACTAAAACAAAAATATCGCAGGCTACGTCAAATAAATTCATGTGTCTGTTGTGATTTGTGATTCGTCCACATTTAGACCAATCACAGCGTCACACTCTATTCTATTCTGGATTTGTTTATTGTTTATTGTGCATTCTGTAGATTCCCATTTATGTTTGAATTACACAATGGACATCAGAAATTGGCTCAAAAGGTCTAAGGATTTATTAAAACGAAATAGCGATGAAAAAACTACAGCCGATGGTGCTGCTGGCGACTCTGCACCTGCCGTTGCAGCAGCACGCCTTAATGTCACAAGCTTGACCTCAGCAAACCCCGGGGCTGAGTTAGCGAGCCCAAGCCTTGACTCATCAAGGTGGCCGCCACCAACGCTGTCCTCCGAGGCACAGCTCCTTGTGCCCCTACCATCACCACCTGCGGTGCCACACCCTGCACCACACCCGCCAGCATCCTCCTCCTGCTCCGTGCCTCCACTACAGATGCTACCTTGCAGCACACCGCTCAAAGACCAACAGCCCCAGATGATCTTGGGGTTAATAAACCCAAGCAGGTGAAACTGGATCGTTATCCAGGGAGATTGTTTTCAGGAAAGAAGCGCACTTTTGCCACTGCATGGTACAACAACAGACCATGGCTTGAATATTCGTTAAAAGCAGACGCAGCCTTTTGTTTCCCCTGTAGACAGTTTAAAGTAAATACGTCTTCATCTGATGCGGCTTTTACTGTCAAAGGTTTTTGCGACTGGAAACACGCATTACAGACTGCTAATGCATGACGCATCAAAAGAACACATTTCATGTGAGAGTTTGTGGAGAGAGAGACAGATACGCGAGGAAACAAATAAGGAAATGAGTACTTTGGTGCAGATCAGCTGGCACGGAGCCGTTATTACGTGTCAGCTGTCGTTGATATTATAGCTTTTTTAGCTGTCAACCAACTCCCTCTCAGAGGTGACCACGGTTCACTCCACAGCATGTCCGAGTCAGGCAGTGGGCTCTTCCTATCGATGTGAGTATGCAGTACAACAAAGATGCAGAGTTGGCCAAAAATAATGGAAAGCATTCCCCACACAGCAACACACACCTCTCACGACATGCACAATGCCATAATAGAGCTAACAGCAGTTCATCGTCTCCGTCTCTACTATTTCTCTCCGAGTGCAGCGATGAGGAAGCTGCCATCCTTAACAGTGTGCCTTGCTCGTGATTTACCAGTGTTTGTGCTGCCACGCACACAATGTTTCAAAAGTGGTTTCTATGTTGCCCTTTATGTATTTGCGATAAGTGTGCGTCTTTGCGCAATGTAGTTGGCCTTGCTGTTTGATATATTGTGCCGCAGGCCCGCAGCACGTGACGGTGTTGTGTGCCCTCCCATGAAAATCATATGCCCTCCCTTTAGATTTGTTCTGGCGCCGGGTCTGGTTTGACATCTGAGACTTTGGCAGATACTGGAAACCTAATCACATTTAAATACAAAAGGAGCATCTGCAATTTTTACTTATAACCGTCAAGCTTTTGATCATAAGACGGCCTTTAACCAAATTCCCTGTCAGATGGGACCATTAGTATGACATTTAATTGAGCAGGAATATCTTAAAAGTGTAGAAGCTTCAAACTCTGGAAAATGTTTTTTCAGCTCAGTGACACATTACATTTAGCATAATACATTTTAATTTTTAAGATTTCCTTCTCTACCTGTAATTGAGCATATAATATTCTAATGACTCTAATAAAGGGAAATGATTACTTCATCATTTTATCAGTTTTCCTTATTGATGAACATGAGGCGGGTATAGTCTGACAGGCGCCCTTCTTCACAGACTTTAATGTGAAAAATGTATTTAAATACTAGTATGTTTTTTTAAGCTCTCTTAAGGAATTACAAATGTGTCTTACCCCTTCTGCAGTTGGTGCCACGGTAGCCCGAAGCGCACACACAGGTGCCGTCCTCCGGGGAGCAGGAGCCTCCGTTCTCACAGGTGCAGCTGTAGGAGCAGTTTGGCCCCCAGCGTCCCTCCTCACAAACACTGTCGCAATGGACACCTGCAGAAAACACACACACACACACACACACACACACACACACACACACACACACACACACACACACACACACACACACACACACACACACACACACACACACACACACACACACACACACACACGCACACGCACACGCACACAGTTTCAGTCCATAGTGAAGCTTTGTTCTTAGCTGCACAGCTTTTAAGTGAAGTCAAACCCCCCCACGCTGCTCACAAACCTTCATATTTGTACTTGAAGGAAAGAGTGTGAAGGAGACATACAGAGAAGACAGACGTGACAGATTAGAGACACAAAGAGACAAGTCCTCTGTAGTCCCTGTTGAAGGATACAGCTGGTGGTATTCACATGAGAAGAATGAAAAGACTAAAACCAACATTGAAAGTATCTACTAGCAAGTATTGTGTTTGAATCAAATAATTAATATCTTATTCCTCTGTGCCACAGATCTCCGTTGTTAGTTAGTTTGCTTTTATTACATTTTGGATATTCCCTTTGTGTCTGAGGCAAGTGTCAGACAAATACAACCACATTATTTATTTCGCTTGAGTAAAGTTTTATAAAAACTACAATGTCAGCTGTTTAGGATATAAATGACCCTTTGTAAACACAACCTATATATCTGTGAGGACAACCACAGACAGGAAATATTGAGAGTTGACTAAACATATTATTGGTTTTGGCTCTGTCGGAAATATAAATACATTTATTTTTTAAACAAACAGATATAAATCCTCCAAGGAAATAACGTAAAGCACTGGCAGTTATTCAGGGTTCTTTGAATGAATCTATTAGTTACTTTATATTTTGCTTGCCTGAATAATTATTCAATTAAATGCCAGAATATTGGATACAATTAGCATGTGGTTGTGTGTGCTATCATGCTAAACTTAGAAGGCAAGTTCCAAACCTTTAGTTGAATTTCTTTTTTTTAATAAAGAGTAATGGAATTATATGAGGTATGGAGAGCCAAAACAGTTATGTAGTTGATCAAGTGTTAGCTAAGTGAAGTTAAGTTTAACTTTACTTATTTGATTATTAAAGTCCAGATATGTTGAAGAGGAGGTTTAGTGGCTCAAAATGTAGCTATACATTTTGTTAGCGCTGTATGTAAACATAGTAAACATTGCTTGGTTTTTCATTATAAGCGTCTTAGCAGGCTGACATTAGCATTTAACTCAAAGCATGACAGCTAACATAGCTGCTAGCATGGCTCTAAACTCTTAATGCACATACATGAAATGAGTATGAAAAGGGTTAGCTAAATAAAGTTGAGATCCCTTTAACTTCAGAATTAAATAATTATAGTCCAGATAGGAGGAGGTTCAGTTGCTCAGGATTTAGCTTTAAATTATGTTAGCACTGTCACATGGATTTTTGGTAGCTTGTTTTTTTCTTGAGACATTACACATCTGTCGATCCTGGGAAAGGGATCTCTCTTCTGTTAAGGTTCTTTCATTTAATTATCTGTTGAAGGTGTTTTTGCCCAGATGGTGTGGTATGGTTTACAGATTGTAAAGCCACATGAGACAAATGTGTGTTTGTTATATTGAGTATATACTGTAGATACAATTGGCTTAACTCGATATATACGTTTTCATTAACAAACATTTTAGCCAAAAACCTTAATTCCCCAATATCTGCGCAGGACTTTTTGCCTTTTAATCATTTGATGAAGTGTCTCCTTCTTTCATCAGTCTTGCATGTGTGTGTGTGTGTGTGTGTGTGTGTGTGTGTGTGTGTGTGTGTGTGTGTGTGTGTGTGTGTGTGTGTGTGTGTGTGTGTGTGTGTGTGTGTGTGTGTGTGTGTGTGTGTGTGTGTGTGTGTGTGTGTGTGTGTGTGTGTGTGTGTGTGTGTGTGTGTGTGTGTGTGTGCGTGTCCTGAGAGGCAGCAGTTTGTCTACACAAAAGCAGGCTTGCAGAAAGGATCAGAGCCCTCGGTGCTCACCGGGGACAGTCTGGAGACTGCTGCGCCCGAGAGACTCACATTACATTCATTCTTAGTAACACTCAACCACACACACGCACAGGAATACGCTCAACACCACATCTAAATAAAGAAAAACAGACAGACAGAGTAAGAATGTATGTGCAAATACAGTATAACACCCTCCTCCTCTCTGCAGCCTGGCATCTCTGCAGCTCATTAGAAACTTCCTTTGACATAGAATATGAGAGAATATGAGATTGAGGCACAGGCAGCCATTATAACTCAATTAATAAACTACCTCTGAGCCACAAAGTGGGTGAATGTCTGGAGCTGTATGCGTTGAAGTTAAAACAAAGGAAGGTGGAGGATGGGAAGCAGAAAAAGGCCAA